GGGGAATTCTGGGAGTTGAAGTCCACTCATCTTAAAGTGGCCAAGTTTGGACACCACTGCTATATAATAGGCTGTATTCCTAACGTTCACAATACTGTACTATGAGTCCTTGCTTGTTCTCCATAGACTAGTTTAGTCTAGCAATAGGGATATGGGCAGCTCTCTCAAGAGTGGCGTGTTGTTCCTTCTGGATTAATTAATTTTTAGACAGGTGACTGATAAAGTTATCAAAATAGGAAAGAGAACAATGAAGCGCTTCCTTTACCTCAGGTGTGCTGCACATATTAGCTAAGGTCGATCCGCATGCCTTACCAGGGACAGCATTCCAAGGGATGATCCCTGAAGTTAAATACCAAAGAAAGCACCCTTAATGTTGTTCGTTAACACCGTTTCCCTTCCTGAAATTCCATTTTCACCCACCTACATGCAAATTGTGTTACTTTATCATTCACCCACACATTGACCGATCTAGTCTGGAACTGGCATTAGTAAGTATCCATTTGCTGAGCCTGTGTTCTCCTTCTGCGTTCAGAACAGGTTCTCCTTGCCAAGATGCGTTCTCAGATCCAGGATTCCCATATGGCAGACAAAAGGTTGTTTTAGTCACGGAGGACACTATCATATGCTGTGCTTGTTGCCTATATTCATTAGGTAAAGGAACTGCTTTCCAGGATTTGCCTCAGTTTAGGGAGTGGATGTTGTAACTACGGTCAGAACAGTCCGACCCAGACTTAGCTCTTTTTTCATCCATGTGAGTTGCTCTATTGCACCCAAATCTCTGCTTCTGTTTTTTACCACCCATCCTTGTAAGTGCCCATTTTCTTCCCTTCATTCCTGTGTTTAACCAACATTTGCAGCATAATGTAACATCAAAACTCTCAGTGTTATACAAGGGTAAATTTTTACCATTATTTGTGCCTTTGTATCTCTTTTTAGGAGATTGTATGATTGTGACTGCGTGAATGTAAGCAATTTAGATATTTATTCTAAAATTTCTTAAGGGTCCATAATAGCCATACAATATGCAACAGGTACAAACCTGAATTGAAGTCCCAAATGATAATGGTTTCTTTGCTTGTTTAAAAAGGACTTTATCCAGAGGTGGGGAATCAGTTGTCTACCATTCCCAGCATCCTTCACTACTAGTCACATTGGCTAGAACTGCAGGAATCATAATTTGGTAAATTATGGGGAGTCACGGTTCTCACTCCTTATCTTAATCACTTGATAGGATTTGCAGTTTTTTGTATGGAAAACATATTGATTTCTCTTGATTGTTTAGTTTGAATTATTTTGTAGGGATACAAAACGGGTTATCCTTTTGTGCAGGTCATATTTTATTTCCATATCCATTTTTGTATAAGGGGATTTTCACCTTTGTGCTACTTATGATGTTATCATTTATAAACTATATTCACATGTTATTTTTTAGAACTCATAGTGCAATTGTAAGTGCAACAGTTAATTATTTTTCCCCGTACCCTCTCTTTCTGGAAAATGATAATATCAGCCTCATTCCAAAGACTTGGATCACCATCCAACACTGGAGTAAAAATATATCTCTCACTTAATACAATATCTAAAATAAAATCAACATTGTTCTTTTATAAACATGAGAAAAATATATTTTCAAAAGAAGCTTCTCATGGTGGCAAACAGGCGCTCAATAAGATATTGTAGAAATATAGACTGGACGCCACAAAAACAGAACTTTAATCCTCTGGCTCTCCTTTCTGCGCAGGTTTATAATTGTTCTGGCCATCGTTTTTACTACATTACAGGATTTGACAATAAGAAAACACTAATTATACTAAGCTCTCCATTCTGTGCATAAAACATCAGACTTGTTGTCAACCTTTTACTTCTGCCTTTACTGACCAGTTAATAAGTAGATTCATTTCAAAATGAGAGAACAGGGTAAAAGTTATTTGTATAAGTGCACAGCATCATGCATGATTCAAAGTATTATGGAATGTTTTAATGAGGGATACTGGCTTGAAGTGTTTCCTAGTGATTTGGTAATGATGTCAGATCTGTTAAACGGTTGATATTGCTTACTGTTTTATGATTAAACCAGATACAGTAATAGTATAGAATCAATTTAGATAAGAGACTTGCTAGTTAAACTGAATGAATCTGGAAGGAAGTCAATGTAATCTACATTAATTAGAAAATCAATAACATGTTCAGAAAATCCACACATGGTTGCTTCTCAGTTCATCTCGTAAGGATAAGACAATTCCTCTTGGAGGCAGGACAAGTAAAGAGGATAAAATATTTAATCAGATTAAAATAAGTACCATACTGCCGGATATCCACGCAGATCTGGTCTGCTGAAGTCATATTTGCTGAGAGTGATCTGATGACTTCACAAGTTGACCACATGTTGTAGAACATAAAGACTGGCACAGCAGAGAAGCCGAAAACACCCAGCCAGGCCACCCCAAGAATGTAAGTGAGGAAAACAAACTGTGAAGAAATAGACATGTTTTACACAGAACTCTTCATTTATAGTGAATTTCAGTTAGAGGAAGGTGGCACTTTTTGAGATTCCATGTGACCCGGACTTCTCTTTCTATAAGCACCTTCCATGCCCAACAAAACTGCAATAGTGTTTAAAAATATCTTCCTATCAAAACAGTCTGGCTTTCTAAATTGTCTTAATCATTATAATTTCAGCTTGAAAGTCAATAAAATATACTGAGGAATTAGTTACAGGAGCAAGTTTTCATTACGAGCAGAAAATGTTCATTATGCTTACCATTTAAAGATACAAATACACTCATTAGAGGCAGCTTTTATTATGGAAGTGAAAAAATGAATTAATTATTAAGGATATTAGGAAAGGAAATACCTTGGATAAACTTCACACAATATATTGAGAGCTAAGTATAGATGTTATTGTTCATATTAATGTTTACTTTTATTAGCATAATTATATGCATGGGAAAATTAATTGCTTAAACCTCAATACTGAGGTTTTGTGCGTGTGCAGATTCATTTATGATCATAGACCAATAAACACAAATACAGGATTTAAAATACAGGCCCCCTCCCCAAACTGAAACAATTAATAATATGGCTTCTGCAGGCTATAGCTAGTACAAGAAACTTGGCAACCTTTGTTAGGTCTTGCAGAAGAAGATTGTAATTTATTAATCAGAAAGACAACTAAGCTTTCTAATAATTGGATTTATGAGTGCCGGACACCATGGGTGGTACAATGGGTAGTTAGCAATACATGGATTACTGACTCTGCATCTGAGCAGAAACACATATTGTTGTTGTGCGGGAGACTAGTATATTATAGTGTCCATAATAGTGTGTCAATTTGAGCTAAAGTAAAAAAAAAAAAATTCTGCGTGAAATATTCAGGTTGTTATAGAGGTAGCAAGGAATCATCCACAGAGAACCTGCAGTTGTGTCATCATAGGGATGGATAATTTTGGCCCTGTCATTTTGTAGATCTAAATCCCAAATTCTCTGTTTGAGTTTGGTAAGGCTTGATCTGAGCCAAGAGACAATATTGCCTGGAGTAAGATGCCACAATACGTCAGAGATGAGGAAACCTATCCAATAGGGTGGTGATCCAGAGACTCACCTCAAAGGATTTGTTTCAGTGAAACCAAGCCAGCTAGAAAAGCTCTAGCCAAACGGGCATTTGAAGTTAGGCATGAGATGCGGAGTATGGCTTTCAGAAACTCAGATTGAACAGCTTCTAAAGTAGGGGAATCCTTATAAACACAGAGTTGTACCCCATATAACAAGTCCAGGATCTTTGCTTCATACAATTTTATTGCTGCAGGAATGTAATTATTGCCATGATGACTAGCATAATTTAAGACTGCATTAGAAACTTTTGAGCTCTAGTAGAAAGTTGGAAGGTTGGAAGTCTTTATATACCTGAATATAAACACCATACTTTTAAAATACTCACCAAAAGGAATATCAACAGACAGGAATGCCCTGGAACCACTCCTATGAGTCAGACTTTTTATCATCAAACTATATTTTACAGCTGGCTCAAGTCGTACTCGCTATTCAGAATAATAACATAAACACTCACAGATGGGACTTCTGTAAAAAAGCCATGCTTTAAGACTGCTACTATGCATTCCAGCCTCTCAAGTAGATTTAGTAGCTATGAAGTAGCTCCCAAGCTCAGGGGATACTTGGAGGATTCTACTGAAGTTTAATTCTCCCACAATTTCATCAGGGTTAATGAGGATGAGACATTATGTGACATCCTTTCAAATTTACCCCAATTGGGTCTTTAAAGATCTGACAATCCAACCTTTAACACCCTTTTTTGAATCTGGGCTTACTGCCAAGAGCAAAACTCTTGACCCTGATTTCTAAGAGCCCTACAGCTCTATCTATGGACCCCAATTTTTCCAATAAAGAGCCTGATAAGATCTCTGATCTACATTTCTACTCTAATGATAATATAGATCCTCCTTCCAGCAACTTATTAAGTCAGCATAGCACATGAGCTAGATGGTCTATCGACCACTGTTTTGATTTATTATTGGGCAGCTAACTGCAGCAAGATTATTGTATGCAAAAAGTTGGAAAAGCAATGAAATACCTACTATGGAATATTAGATTATTAAATTAACAACTGAACTTGCAGAAATGGTGAAGCTGACCAGTCTGGTCAGAGCAAAAAAATGACAACGACCTTTTGAAAGAGTGGAAACCTTATATGGACTTTTCGTTGAAAGAAGAAAAGATTAAATTGATGTTTTCTGGATTTGGGGATTAAAAAGGGCCAAAGAGGATGGGGGAAAAATAAGATGATAATTAATAAAAAGAAGGGCAGAAGGCATAATTGAATGTATTTCACTGCTTTCATGAAAAGAGAACAAAACAGAAAAAAGGTACAAATACAAAATATTACAAATAGATAATAATTCAGCCTAATTTTTAAACACATTAAACAATGTCCATAAAAAATAATAGCGATCTGTCTTTCAATTGCATCAACAGAGAGCCAGCTCATAAGCAGAAAGCAAACATATCAGTGGCCCTCCTATCTCTTTGATTACCAGAGATTAAGTAGCTTCAGCTTTAAAATCTGGTAGAAAAATGAACTGGATCAATAAGAGATCCTAAAGTAATCATAAAACTAGCCTGTCAAAACTAGAATTAACCTTTCCATGATTTTTTCTCCAGAACCTAGGATAACTCTTCTAACAGCACAAAAAATAAAATTCTACATTTTAAAATCAAACTTGAGAATTTAGCATTTGTAGGCCATTAAAAAAAAAAAAAAAGCCTTCCAAATTATATTTCATAATACTTGGAACCTCAAGAAGGAAATTACAAGAAAATTGAAATGAACAAGGATGTAGGATGTATCAAATGGTAAAATACATATCTGAACTTAACACTTTCTGTTGCTTTTTAGAATGAAGGATACTCTGAATCCAGTATCTCTGAATACAGACTTGTGAACAGCCGTTCCATGCTAAGTGCAAAACGTTATTTTGGCAATGGACCAGTTGTGTATTATTGATGAAATTTAATTTGACACCTGAAAGCTCCAGCTATTACCAAAGGAAGTGATTTATGCTAAAACATACTCACCATTCCACTGATGCAACGACCACAGATTGTTGTTTTGAATTCACCATGCAGCTCCTTCACAGCGCTTGTGGTATAAAAACCCTCCGCTAGCAGAATAATTCCATACAAGAAAAAAAATGATGCAATTCCATAGATCACATATTGCATTAGTTTTATTCTGAAAAGGAAATAAGTCAGGCACTTAAATTATGTCTTTTATCATCATATCGAGAATAGAACAAATGACAAGTGGCTAGAATGAACATCTTAGTGTGTGTGTTTGTGTGTGTGTGTGTGTGTGTGAGAGAGAGAGAGAGAGAGGTAGTCCTTGGTTAATGACCATTCATTCAGCGACCCTTCAAAGTTACAGCGGCACTGAATGAGACTTACAGCTAGAAGGTATGGCTGTCACAGTGTCCCACAGTCACATGACTGCAATTCAGGTGCTTGGCAACCAGCTTGCAATTATGATGGTCGCAGCATCCTGCAGTCACATGATTGCCATTTGCAACCTTCACTGTCAGCTTCCAACAAGCAAAGTCAATGGGGAAGCCAGCAGGAGGTCACAAATGGCGACTACATGACGTTGCACTTAACGATGTCACTTAGCGATGGAGTTCCCAGTCCCAATTACCATCATTAACCAAGGACTACCTGTATGTGTAAATGCACACACACACACACACAAATAAAATCAAAGTATCAATGGCCTCCAAAACCTCAACAATATGTATTCTTACATTGACAGTAATATTTCTATGAAATTTGGCTGAACTAGCATGTACATACAGTATGACAGGGACCCTAGATCATTAGGCATAGGAAAGGAAACTGGACTAGGTACCTTCCGACCCTTCCATTTTTTATTCCATGATTGCTTGCTACATCAGAAGCATCTGGTAACATATTCATTTGACTTCAGAAATCCTGGAATGTTGAATTCCACTTTGATCAAAGAGATGGAAATTTAGCATTTTTGATGGAAATTAAACATTTTTCCTATATTCAACTTCAAAGGCCAAATTCAGGCCTCTTAAAAAAGTTGCATACATGCATTTTTATTTACAATAAAAGACCACTGACATATTTATAAAACACTGCTAAACTTTAATGAGAGCTCATCCCGTCCAAGACATCACGTTGAATGATCTGCTATCATCTTGTCACAGCAACTAACAAAAGTTGGCTACCCTGAGAATTATGCAATACTTTATATCCCAAAAGACCAGAATGATATAAAATTCACCCACTCTGCTCAGGTAATCGTATAGCACAGGGCTAATGTATTTTAAACACAAATCCTTATAGAAAGGACAGTATAGTAAAACATGTGTTGTTACCATTTTCCTGGATTTATATAAGTAGATTCTCTTGTCCAGGGGAATTTCCGAGTATTTACGTTTTAAAAATGTAGAAGGAAGGAGATTATATCTGGCCCTAAAGAACTCTCTTTGTAGCTTTGGAAAGGCTGATTGAGGTTGAATAGTTTGTTCCCAAGTGGAAATTTAACCCAACCCACATTGCTCTGTGAACTACATTTTGATGTTATGTATCTTTGACTCTTTGCAGGAGACTCTGATTAGCCTGGTTGTAGCCTGGAGAGGTAAAAAAAAAAAACTCGGCCAATTTGATGACAGCTTCTTATTGATTTTGGCCTTCCACCTTGATAAATGTTTATCTGACAAAAACTTAAGGAAAAAAACTGGATCTTACGCCAATAACTCTTATTGTTTCCAAGACCTCACTTCTACTTTAGGCATCCTGGTCTCTAGTCTAATGCAATGTTGAGCACCATCTAGGAGCAGAAAGAATATATCTGAAAAACTTAACTTTGTAGCATCTCCATTTCCTCTCTGTTGATAGTTAAAACTCTGTTGAAGAGTTCTAAATTGCTGGGATCAATTCTCCTCCCCTGGAGAAGGATTAATAGCTATTGAGAATCTTACAGTATAGCCTATTGGTTCAGTTTACTTACATGCTCCATATCCAGTAAGCCATTTATTTAAAATAGATAAAATCAGTTTGAGATAGGAACCAACTCTTGCCAAGTTTCATGTAATGCCCTCTAGTATTCTTGATGGCAGGCTGTTTATGCTACTATATCATTTACAATTTTGCCGCTATGGATCAGAAAGAAATTAAATGCTTTCATATTGTCCTTTGATGCAATACATTAATGAAACAAAATAAAAGCATTTGATTTGCCAGACTGCATATAAATCTGGATCTCAAGCTTTTAAAAAGAATTTAATAAAAACCCACTTTCTTAATGACTTCAACCAAAAATGCTCCAAAGTTTATAAGGCAAATGTAAAATGACTGTAGTAGGAAGTTTGTAAAACAATGTAGAAACTATATTTATATGTTGTATCCTTGCTTTGGTGAATCATAATTCAACTGGGAAACAGAATTTTATATTTAGGTTAAATCCAAAAATCCTGATTCATAAAGACTAATTTTGTTTATCTTTTATTTTTGATATCACTGGCTATTTGTTTAGCTCAACTGCAACGACACAGAATTATAAACAAGCTGAGCTCTGTACCCCAATGAAGATGAGAATTAATAATCCCTGCACTGCCTTACAATTATGTCATCCAGATAAGCTATAGATATAACTTGTTTTATGGTTGAATGAACACAAACACATTCCTCAATGAAGCAGTGAAAGATGTTACCACTTATTATGGAGCATCTGGTTCTTCTGAAGCTCAATTTGGACACTCAATCATTTTTGCAGTAATCATGTAATTATATTTTTTTCTCCTGGAGTCCATATTTTCATTCAAGTTACATTGAATAATGTTGAGTGAAATTTTCATTTTTCTATTTTGTTGCAGAATCTCTCCATCCAATCTCTCCAGCAAGACCTCTTTTTTGTGATTATTCTTTATCCTATCTTTTTTCTAAGTTGCAAATTCTCCTGTCCTCACAATAGTTAAATTCTTTATTTTTTTCCTCACATAATCTAGGTCAAATCTAAATGGTCTCCAACACTTAAGTCAGTTTATAAAGTGTATTTATTGCAGTTTAGAGACACATAAACAACACTTTTAGAGTATGTAAACTATTAATTTGGAGAACTTCAGTATTATGTCCATGAATAAAAGAAAGATGATGAAGCAATGCAGGAGATCAGGAAAACGTATCACATAAGGCAGGGGATCTTAAATTGTAGGTTACAATCCCTGGGGGGGTCATGAGCAAACAAAGCAGGATAATGGTCAGAATTTGCTGGTATGAGCAAGCTGGCTACTGACTTTGTCCAAACAGAGTGGAGGTGAAAGCTCGGTTTGTGGTCTGACAAGACTCTGGCTGTGTATGTGCAAGTCTGATGGCATCAACAGTGGGTCCAGCTCTGCTTGGACAAGCTAGCAGTTAGCTTGTCCCTATAAAGTGGAATGCAATGCACCAAACACAGCCTGCTGGCTTACAGCTGGATTGCTGTTAGAATTCGCTCCTGTTCCAGGCCAGAAGCAAACTCAGGGTTTTCAACAGTTGTTGTAATAAAGAGAAATACTAATACGTCATTAATATGAAGAGAGAAATGTGTGTCTTAAACAGAAAGCCCACATTTCAAGAATTATGCAAGATCATATTGCCCATTAAAATTATGGTTTTCATTCAATTATTTCATTGCTTATTTCCAATGAATAGGTTTTATTGTGTAAAGTTGCAAATTTTAGCAATGCTTTATTTGATGCAGAAATCAATATTTTATTTATTGATTTGATTTAGAGGCTGCCTGACTCCTCAGTGGGTGACTTGCAATTAAAAGGAAAAGAGAAAGAACAAACGTATGTCAAAAACACACACACAACTAACTGGAAGATTATCTCAGTATCACAAAACCCCAAACCATAGGGGCTTCTCAACCAAGACATCCCCAAGTCTAGGAGAACAACCAAATTTTTAATAGTTTCCAGAAAGTCATTAAGTTGGGAGCAATACAGATCTCAAGGCAAGAACCAACACATAGAAGACATCTTTGGGGCCACAAGATGACATTTTTTAATCAATGGGACCCAAGGCATGCCCACTCTGCCTGACTGCACTGGACCAGCAGACATATTTAGAGACAGGAGGTTCCTCAATAGCCAGGCCCTATGCCATGAAGGGCTTTATAGGTAATAACCAGTACCTTAAACTGCACCCAGAAGCCAACTGGTAACCAGCACAGTTTGCAAAGCAGTGGGAACCAGTGAGCATATTTCAACACACCCATTACTGCCTGTGCTGCTACATTCAGGACCAGCTGTAGCTTCCAGCTATTCTTCAAGGACAACCCCATGTAGAGAGCATTACAGTAAGCCAATCATGAGGCGACCAAAGCATGAGTGTCTGTGTGAAGCTCTTCCTATCCAGAAACTGTATACCAGATGAGCCTGTGCAAAGGCCTTCTTAGGCACACCTGCCACCTGCTCACTGAGCAGAAGCTGTGAGTCCAAGAAGACCTGCCAGCCTGTGCACAAGACCTGCATGGGGAAATGCAACTGCAATGAAGACTAAATCAGGAAGATTAAACAAATAGAGTCATTAGGTCTTGCCCAAACTTCCCCATCCAGGCCCACACAGCCTCCAGACACTGAGACAGGACTTTGACAGTATCACTTGGTCAGCCTGGTACCAAGACGTACAATTGAGTATCATCAACATATAGATGACACCTGATCCATGAAGAAGAGGAGAAGAACCACAAAACAGTGCTTCTTACTCCTAACCTCCAATGCCAGTCCAAAAGGATACCATGATTGATGTTATTGAAAGCCACTGAAAGATCAAGAAGCACCAGGGTTGTATAAGAATAAAATGGAAATATGCAGGAATCATTATTTAGGAAAAAGGTGTTGAAAAGTCAGAACAACAAAATAGCATTTTGAAGTGGCTCAAGTAGACACCTCCCTAATTCACTGAAGGATAAGAAGGAGAATGACGTACAGCACAATCAGGGTTGAACAATTCTGTTATTATAGCAAATCTCAATAAAATTAGTTTTAGCTTTCTGCTGGAGTTGATTTCACACCATTCCAACTCCCCCACAGATCAACAAGTGCGACCAATGCTGCCTCCATATTGAACACTGGTCGGAAGCCCAACTGAAACAGGTCTAGATAATATGTTTCCTTCAGGGTCCTCTGGAACTATAGCCTAACCAGTCTTTCTATTACCTATCCCAGAAAAGGGAGCTTGGAGCCTGGATGAAAATTGTCCAGGATAGTTGGGGCCAGTGATGGTATCTTAAGAAGATTTAATTAATAAAAGTAAATGGTATGTTTATTCCTTGCCCAATTCTAATTTTAATGAGATCAGTCATTTTATTTGGGAGATCACACAAATTCATTTACCATTTTAGTGGTTCATGCACTGCAAAACTTGGGAATCCCTAAAAAAAAAAAAAGGTAACTGAATTACTAAGTGTATTCTGATATACAGAGAGGGCCACTGATAGTTTTTTGACACCTAAAATAATGTCCATGGTGTTGACATGGTGTTTAGGTCAAACACAGAAAAAACAACCTCATGCATATGACAGCTAGTATGTTCTAGAGACATACGATTAAAGCTTTAAATATACTTTCTTCAGCTTCAGGGCCAAAGGCTGAGTTCATGGTTCATTATACATCTTCCATATAATTCTGTGACAAGAATTAAAGAAATTTCATAAAAACCTCAAGTATAACTTGTTACTGATAACATTTATTACTTTATCTTTAAAATTAGCAGTTTCTTTCTCATGTTTTTGTCCAGTATATTTTTAGTGGGTCTAATCTCATGGTAATAGCCCCCTTTTTTCCCTCCAACAGTTGTTATGGAGCTGGATAACTATGCTCTCTTTCTGAGATTGATTGCTACTTTTAATTTTTTTTCCCCTGTTGAATTAAACAAGACATTTGAGGTGAAAGTACATACTGAATCCTAGCAGCCAATTTTTCTTCATTACACTTTCGATTCCACTGAATGTCATTAGTAGCCATTTTTTGAAAAGTTCTCCAGAAATTAATAAATAAATTGTCCTTTTGATGAGTTCTCCACTCAAGTGCTGACTTTTGTGAAGAATGTGCACGCAAAACATGGCTTGCATTTCTTATCATCCCTCTGGCAATTATAGTGGTTAAGGATTTCACTGCCATTGTGTAAAGAAAGAAAAATGGTTTCATACTTACACTTCAGATAACAAAGCATGGTCAGTCACGTTTGTGGAAAAATTCTGTTCAAGGATGGATATAGTTCCTGCAAGAGCCACATGACCACAGCCACAAAACAATGCTACTCCAGAGAAGCAGAGTATTGTTGCCACAAGTGAAGCATATGGAACTCCTCCCAAGCACTTAATGCAACATTCAAAACAACCTAGACAAAAAAAAAAAGGGGGGGGAGGCAACATTTAAGAATAATTATTTAGATTTCCATGTGATAAAAACATGAGTGCTAATGGGTTGCACTTAATTTAGCTAAATGACTTCCTTATATATCTGCCACCTTAAAGCACAATAGTGACAACTCTCCTGCTTGTGCAACTGATGCTTGCCAAACCACTAACTTGCTGAAGTTCATGTTTTTCCCCCAAAACTTAATTCTGGGCATTAGGTGAGCTTCCAAAAACCAGTGGAACAACACAACAAAGCAGGAAAGGAAATCTGGGGTCCAGACTTGCAAAAAGAGAAGAACTTTTCACTAAGACAAAAATCATAATTAGATTTAACTCCACAAAGGTTGCTGATAAAAAAGCTTAAATAGTCTATGCTAAAAGAGAGGGAGGGAGGGAGGAAGAAATATACTTCTTAGGTAACACAATAAATTTAACCTCATTCAATGAACCATATGATTCATTAGGATATTTCTGCAATTTAGTGAGCCAAGAATAGGAACTGGGAAATCTCCAATGTAAATGTAATCTAAACTGATAAGGATTTTCTATGCTGATTCAGTTGAGCCACTACTGTGTACATAAAAGACAATACTTAGTTTAGGAGCTTCAAAAATGGTCAGTTTTTTCTAGCCTGAACCATAGATTATCCAATCCAATCTGATGTCTGAATATGGACAAAGTGTCAAAAATCCAGAATTTGTTTACATCATTGTCTAGTATGACTGAAACAATCATTTAGCTACTTTTTAAAAATGAAATTGGATAAATAAAAATTGGCATTGTGACAGGTTCAGGCTTCTCAATAAGTTCACTTCTGATGAACTTATTTTCATCAAAATAAGTTCAAGTGTTTTTGAGCTATACTTTATGTTGTTCTCTTTAAAAAGGGTGTAGGTAACTTGGTTGTGCTGAAACATAATCTGATGAATTTTGCAGCAATAGTATTTCTTTCCATGGGGTAAACCCTTTCCCACACGTCAGACAAACTGAAATGTAAGGGGGGAGGCATTGCAAAGAATGATGCCCTTCCCACATTGAAAGAAGCTGACTGTTGGAACTGAACATGTAGATTAACATACAGTGGGGCAAAAAAGTATTTAGTCAGCCACCACTTGTGCAAGTTCTCCCACTTAAAAAGATGAGAGAGGCCTGGCAACACGGACTTTCAACTCATATATAACAAAGTATTGAGATGAACTTTTGATATTGACCAAATACTTATTTTCCACCATGATTTGCAAATAAATTCTTTAAAAATCAGACAATGTGATTTTCTGGATTTTTTTTCTCATTTATATATAACAAAGTATTGAGATGAACTTTTGATATTGACCAAATACTTATTTTCCACCATGATTTGCAAATAAATTCTTTAAAAATCAGACAATGTGATTTTCTGGATTTTTTTTCTCATTTATATATAACAAAGTATTGAGATGAACTTTTGATATTGACCAAATACTTATTTTCCACCATGATTTGCAAATAAATTCTTTAAAAATCAGACAATGTGATTTTCTGGATTTTTTTTCTCATTTATATATAACAAAGTATTGAGATGAACTTTTGATATTGACCAAATACTTATTTTCCACCATGATTTGCAAATAAATTCTTTAAAAATCAGACAATGTGATTTTCTGGATTTTTTTTCTCATTTATATATAACAAAGTATTGAGATGAACTTTTGATATTGACCAAATACTTATTTTCCACCATGATTTGCAAATAAATTCTTTAAAAATCAGACAATGTGATTTTCTGGATTTTTTTTCTCATTTATATATAACAAAGTATTGAGATGAACTTTTGATATTGACCAAATACTTATTTTCCACCATGATTTGCAAATAAATTCTTTAAAAATCAGACAATGTGATTTTCTGGATTTTTTTTCTCATTTATATATAACAAAGTATTGAGATGAACTTTTGATATTGACCAAATACTTATTTTCCACCATGATTTGCAAATAAATTCTTTAAAAATCAGACAATGTGATTTTCTGGATTTTTTTTCTCATTTATATATAACAAAGTATTGAGATGAACTTTTGATATTGACCAAATACTTATTTTCCACCATGATTTGCAAATAAATTCTTTAAAAATCAGACAATGTGATTTTCTGGATTTTTTTTCTCATTTATATATAACAAAGTATTGAGATGAACTTTTGATATTGACCAAATACTTATTTTCCACCATGATTTGCAAATAAATTCTTTAAAAATCAGACAATGTGATTTTCTGGATTTTTCCCCCCATTTTGTCTCTCATAGTTGAGGTATACCTATGATGAAAATTACAGGCCTCTCTCATCTTTTTAAGTGGGAGAACATGCACAATTGGTGGCTGACTAAATACTTTTTTGCCCCACTGTAGGCACTGAAGAATCAGTCAAACAGTTTCTTTGCGGTAACGAGCAAATAATTATTTCGTGTCAAGTACGGTAAGAAAAAGGGTAGATTAGGACAGCAAAGGAAAGTGGCATCCGTCATACCAAGTAAGTGAAGCACTAAGCTTGTTACATTAAATATAAAAGGCAAACAAAATCTAAGTAACACAACAAGCCAAAGCAGCTAACAATCAGACTCAAAGTAGAGTAAATCTCACAAGAGTTTAGTGACTGAGAATGAACAATGCCACCTGGAGCAAGTCACAGTAAAAGGAACCATCACTCTCCTGCCACAATGGAATGGGCTTTGCCAGTAATCTGTTTAATGGACTTCTAGGTGCCCTAGGACTTCTGTCCCTGAAACCTAGGACACTCTCCACGAAGCCCTGCTCCTCCCCAATTATTTGAGAAAGTAGCTTTTTAAAGAGCACTGTTGTCTTGCTCCAAGTAGATAGTGATGTTGGTCAGGACCAGAATTTCATGGAGGTCCAATAGAAACCAAGGCTGGTTTGCCCCACTTGCCCCAACAGTGCTAAAAAACCTATATAAACCTGTTTCATCTCTCGATTCTGAGTTTATCCAAGTCAAATATATATCCCTAAAAGTCATCCTCATATCATGGCTTTGAGAAACACCTGTTCCCATTCTTTACAAGGAGAGTTACATGGTTTATTCCCGGAATATACAATGAGAACCACATTGAACAACTGCTATTTAAACAAATTCTTAATTCTTGTCAGGAAACTGACTTGAGTGGCTGCTTTGAAGAGGAAATAGAATTCAGATACAGAAAACTTAGCATATTTCAGCCAAATCAAATCCAAAGAGAGCTAAAGAAGGACTTCAGCTCCAAAATACTGCAGCTGCTGTAGATGTTACCCCACAAAGGAATACAGTGGTACCTCTACTTACGAATGCCCCTACTTACGAAAATTTCGAGATACGACCAGCTCCGACCCCAAAAATTTACCTCTACTTACGAACTCGCCTCGACTTACGAACTGGATCTGTGGCCATTTTCCCTGCTGCCACGCGGTCGCGACTTCCTGTGGGCGAGATCGCGGTAGCAAGGAGACGTTCGGTGAGGCTTGTGGTGTGTTTTGTGGCATTCTGGAAGGTTCTGGAAGGTGTTTGGTGTGCTTGTCAGCATGGCTCCAAAGAATATGCAGAGCAGGCG